CCCCAAAACCCCAAAACCCCAAAACCCCAAGTTCAAAAATGTTAATTAATATTGATAATAAATATGAACTCTAGCATTCCAAAGATGAACATATACCAGTATTTGCTTTTATCAAGTAGCGTTTTCACAACAAGCATATGTTACATGCTTTTCGTGGCCTTCTTGCCACTGGAATTCAGCAGGTTTGGCATCTCAGAAGTAACGTTCGGGTTTATATTTGCTATGCATCCTGCATCGGCTATGTTTGCCTCCCTGGTCGTTGGGAAATTTATGAGTTCTCTAGGGAGGAAGCTGACCCTGGCAATTGGGTGCTGTACCTCGGGATTATGCATGTTGTTGTTCAGTTTAGCAAGCTATTTAGAAAGTGCAACTATGATTGTTGCCTTATGTATTTTCTCAAGAGCTGCCTCAGGCTTGACTGTAAGCATGGTTTATACCACTTCTTATGCGATAATTTCTGTTTGTTATGGTGAACAAAAGCAAAAGTATTTCAGCTACTTTGAAGCTATTCAAGGAATTGGATCTGCTGTTGGGCCTGCGGTTGGGGGCATGTTATACGCATTCTTTGGATTTAGTACAATATTTGAAATTTTAGGAGGAATTCTAATATTCCTCTCCCCTGTGATGTACTTTTCTTTACCAAGCTCAGTTGAAAATGAGGAAGAGACACTACTTCAAGCCGATCAGCCTCACAGCGACCATGATCCAATACAAACTTCTACTCCTAAAGTTGGCTATCTTCTTTTGATTAAAAGTAAAGTGTTTACCTTATCTGCAATATCAGTGGCTCTAAACTTATTTTCATTTGCGCACTACCTCCCTGTGATGTCTCTTGAGTTGAAGAAAATGAGTGTCTCAGACTTCGGGATATCCCTCTTCTTCTGTGTATCCTCTCTGGGTTATCTCTTCTCTAGTCTTGTAGTTGTTCCGAATTTTATTGCAAAGCTGAACCAGAAGAAATGCATTGCTTTTGCAATTATGATGTTCGGATTTACTCAATTTCTGGTTGGGCCAGTCTTTCCTATTCCTCAGAGTGTGGTGTTCATGGTAATTGGGCAGTTCTGTGTAGGATTCTTTAGTTTAATACTAATGGTATCCCCTGTTACAGTGATGATTGAAGATTCAGAGAAAAAGTTTCCTACTCAAAAATCTTATGTGACCGATCTCTCTTCAGGAGTGTTTATCTTTATGTTAAATTTAGGTGAAACAATTGGACCAATTTTCGGAAGTTATATGTCATCCAGACTTGGATTTCACACTGTATGCACTATGGTAGCTATTCTTCTCATTGTATACTCCCTAGCATATACACTAATGTGCATTTATTTCTCATCTAAAACCGATATACTCCCCATAAAGTCAGATAATTTAAGCTGAGAAGAACTATTTGCATCTCAAAATCCGAAAAAACCATCTTCACTCTCAAAAATTTCTCCCAAACATACACGAAATTCCTTTAATCCTCCTAAGAAATCTAATTCCTAATTAAACACTTTTTGATTTCTTTGTTCAGCCTTTCTACTGAAGGCTACTTACAACCTCAACCAACTCCCAACAAGTGATAATATGACCATCTTATTTCTAACAATTTTAACCCCTTCATCTTCAACCAAATAACCACTCCCTGGGGTTTTGGGGTTTTGGGGTTTTGGGGTTTTGGGG